TGTGGATCAGTCCAGGCTCCACTGATCACAGACACTAACTTCATCTTTTTCTGCACTCAGAGGCCCTCCCTCCCTCCAGCTGTCCTGCCTTCACATATTTTTTGCTGCTGGTATTGTCAAACATAGAAGACTTGCTGTTGTTTTTCTGCAGAATCAGAGAACCTGATTCTGCTTACGCCTGGTGAGGAATGGGATTGTAGAACTTGTTTACTCTTGATTTTGCTGCCCCGTGAGGGAGGAGGGAGGAGGGCATCACCCGGTCAGCTTGCATGAAACAATCCTGCCTTTGGAAGCAAGTCCTTGTTTTGAGCCTTTGTGCTTTTTTCTGGCTTTTAAGCAGAATTCACAAACAAGGCTATGCTTCGAGGGGAAATAGGCAGTAAAAAATAGAATATTATTTGCTAAAGCCAAACAGATCATTTGAAAAGGCCAGGATGCTGCCAAACTTAGAGGTACTTGATTTTTGTGCATCACCAAACAATGTCCCTGTGTGGTTGTGTTCCCTGAAAGGGTAAGGTTACTGTGGGTCAGTGCTGACAAGTCCAGTCTGCAGGCTACAGGGTTACAGCTGGCCTCAACAAAGCCTCGAGCTTATGTGCTTCTGGACGGACCCTTGAGGGCCTCCCTCTCTCCATTTTGACCTGCAAACAGTCAGGCTCACCCAGGCTTGGCCATTCATTAGCTTTGTGTATTGAGCCGATTATTCTGCCTTTGGCCCCCTTTGCAAATGGACTTGACAAAAACATCTATCTCATAATTGTACAGAGCTTAACACAGGGCTTGTAGTAATCTCCCTAGAAATGTGCTACCATCGCCACCATCATGTTCATTATCTTCCTGATTACCAGAGGGCCAGAGATCTGGGTTCAGCCAGATCCAACTTTGCTATGTAGTCCAGCCAGAGTGCCCCACGACAACTCAGAGCGAGGTTAGAAACCCACAAGGGAGGCATAGAACTGGGACCAAGGAAGCATGTTTGAGGATATTAACCTTAATCTCACTTTCATGTTAGGAGGTGAACTCCTGGTGCTTTTTCCTACCACTATGCCTCATCATTCATGCTACATAGAGTCTCTGAATTAAGAAACTATCTGGAGCATTTTCTGGACACATTAAGAATTGCATTTTTTTTAAATTCTCAGACTATGTGGACCACTTGGGAGCTGACTATTTAACTCTAGTCTAACATAGTAGTCTAGACATTCCAGGATTATATGAATGATTTATACTGATATACATAGTCTCTTTACCTTGAGGAAACAACCCAGCCTACTGAACCAAATGGTAGGTCTAGATGGTGGAGGTGGTAATAACAATGATGAAGATCACAAGCATTAATTTAATCTACCTGTTTGTAGTAATAGCAAATACTTGTTTAATATTAATTTCCTTCATTCCAGCATCTCTTCTAAATGTTACATTTTTTTATTTGATTTTTCACAATAACTTCATGGGATAAGCGCTATTATTATCCCTGCTTTCCATATGAGAAATCAGATAACATCCAAAGTCACACAGCTAATGACTGACAGAACAGAGGCTTGACCCCAGCAGCCCATGATCTTGGCCTCTATGTCATACTGCCTGAAGCAGCCTCCATCTATAATGCCCATGCAAGTACCATGAACTGAGCTGAGACTCCCCATCTTTAGCACCTACTCAAGCAACGCCAGCCACACTTTCCCCTGAGCTTCCTCAGGCTCATCAAGCCCTCACTGGATACAAGTCCTGGAGGAAATCTGATCCATTTGTATCCATTTCCCTGTTCAGCAGGCCCTCAGTACATTGTCCCCCATTCCTAGGATACCCAAGGCTGCCCAGTCCTCTGAGCTACTGAGTCAGTCCATGTGCCCCCAAACAAACCTCACTCCTGAACATTTATTCACAACTCATCTGTCCACCTGTGTGAGGTAACTCTGGGTAGTTGTTTCTACGGTTCTGTCATCTTCTTCGAATGTGTTTTTCTAGAAATGGTATCTTACATTATCTAGAAATGATATAACCTTCTAAACCATGCCAGTTTTTCTCAGTGTTTGGCTCAACAGTTGATAATTTTCAGAATAGTTATCTCAAGCCAAGAGATTGATGGATATATAGTTAATACTGTACACTTTTACTCAAGTCCTGAAGTGAGCTGTCGTGGGACCCAGGTGTGTTTTCAGCAGATGCCCTCCTCTTATAAAGGCTCCATCGCTGGTGATGGGAGATGAGGAGATACACTATTACCAGGCTCCTTCATGAGACCCTGGGCCTATATGGGCAGACCCCAGGGCACAGCGTTGGTGCTTTGGGTTTATGAGCAAGAGAAATGCATTATCTCTATTGTTAAGTTTAGAGACCACCTACCTAGGAGGTCTGAATTGGCATGATAGGGATTTTTTAAATCATATTCTCCACAGTAGATTCGTGAAAGTGGCATGCTATTTATGTGTATCTTAATTTCGAGATCAGTGTGGCTCTTGTAGAAAGCAAAAGACAAAGAAATAAGCTGTCAGGTAGTCGCTGGAGCTGTTCTTCTTGAGCCCACACATCTCTTTGGCTATGGAGCAGTCCACACCCTTAATAACCTCAGAATTGGCACTCCTCCCAATTTGGCTTGCCACATGTGGGGTAGAAGGCTTTTGGTAACACTTGAGATGTCTTTGGAAAGTTTTGAACTGACATTAGGGAGCAGCAAGTTACATGAGAAAGTTGGTCCTTTCTCAATTTTATTTCCATCTTGGATGTAATATGGAAGAAAACAGTCTAGTCTGGGGCTAGAATATCCTTAACATTGGTTAATTTCCTCTTCTGTATAGCTAAGAGAGAGCAGGCCTCATGAAATGATATGCACCAGAAATGCATAGCCCAGATTTTCGTTGCTTTCCTAGGTTCAAGTTTGGCAATTTGCTTTCCATTTGCCTTAGTGATATCTCTTCCTTGGAAAAAATGTTAGATGTTTAAAGGTGAATGATTTTAAAGGGAAGTATGAATGACAGGTCAAGCCTGCAAGCGGTGCCAAGGATGGTAGTACAGGGAGCATCAGCTGAAAACAGCTGCCTGTGAACCCAACCTGGCTTTTGCATGAGACTGACTGGGATCCCGGCCCTGGTGGCTCATGCACATAGTTCACACTGTTCAGGAGGCTAAGATCTGAAGATCAAGGTTCAAAGCCAGCCCAGGTAGACAAATCTGTAGGAATCTTATCTCCCAAGTATTCAGCAAGAGAACCCTTTCCTGCGCCTGGATAGTGTCCCCACTCTTGGTTTCCGTACTCTGATCACATCTCCATTTTCCCCAAGCGCCCCACCTCCCACCCATTTGCTTCTCCTTCCCAATCCACTCCCCCACTTTAACTTCCTCTTCTTCTGTCTCCTAGCTCTCCCTCCTCCAGACAGGAGGAGAACTATTATTGTTGGAAATGCCCTCCAGCATGCTGCACTTTTAAGACTTGAGTTGAAGTCACTCAGCTGCAGCCACATTATAATATTTTCTACGCTTTTTTACAGTACTTGTTTGTCAAGTTAAAAACCTGAAACTTCAGTTTTTAGACCCCTAGGCCAAAACTCAAGGAGTTCCACATGTCAGATCTAGCCACTCACCCCCATATGCCAAATAAAGAGGTATGGTAAAGAATAGAGAAATCTGCCTTGCTGAGTTAAAAAAAAAAAAAGAAGAGAGAAAGAGATTTATTATATGAAGCCAGCAGCCAAGAGAAGACAGCGCTTCAGCTCATCTTTAGCCATCTTCAGAGCACAGACATGAGCTATAGGTTTAAGTAGATAAAGAATTATGAGGAGACTAGGAGAGCTATATGTAACTAACAGTCCCAATCACCAGGGTTTTCAGGGTGGGCAAAAGTGGTAGCAGTGGCTCTGACAGTCCATTGCCTGAGGCCTTGTCAAATGAGGCCTTGTTACAGTGAGCATTGACACCTGGCAGGTAGTAGTCCAGTCTCCTGTCCACTCCTTCCTGAGTTCCACAGTGGAAGGAGACTGAAGGAGAGAATGCCTCAGGGCAAGGGACACAGATAACAAAACTGAGGCAAGGAGCCCTCTTTCTTCCTGTTTTAGTGCATCTGTGGGCCCAAGTAGGAGTCGGTACTTTTTAGCACAAGCAGCTTTCAAGCAGCTTCTCCAGTTTGAAGATCTAATCTTTTGGGGTTTTGTTTTCTGTCAGAAACTGCATTAACAACCACGAGGAGAACAGTTATTGATCACTGTGCACTTTACCAATATGAATCTAGATCATCCTGACCTATCTGTGCAGTACCGTTCTTCATTTGGGAAGATTGAGGCTCATGGAGATTAAATATTAAATATTGTCCACAACCACAAAAGTAGCAGAGCCAGAATTCATATATGCAGGCCAATAGCTTAACATTCTCAGCAAATAGACCCCAACTCGGGTATCCTGACCCACCATGACTCAGCTTAAGACACTGTTCTCTATTGAAGTCATTGACATTTTTGAGCTGCTGTCTACTTCCATGGTATTCACAATTGATCATTCTTTATTTTCAGTTGAAATGATAGAATCTCAGCAGGAAAGCCACCGCTTCAAATCCCATCAAGGTTTTCTCTCATCACCATTCAGAAGAGAGCAGCCTTAAACGATTTTATGTATACTTGCTGTCAGGGTTATAAATTGAAGATGTAAAAATCGGTACCCACCAATAATTCCACAAGTGGCAGGATGCAACTCTAGAGCTTTCAGTGACCTCTATACAGGCTTATCTGCAGCCGTGGTATTTGGCATTCCAGGGCATTTCTGCCTTTAAAAAGTGTCATATTCTCATTCTGGTCTTTAGTGAGGGAGCAGCTCTGAAGGGTTCACATGGTACCCATAGTCCCTACCAAGGAAGATCTCTTGTTGAACATTAAGGGCTTTTACTTCTCACCCCATCTCCCCTTAGACACCACCCTGATGTCTTTGATTCAGCTTGCTATCAAGTGGACTCTGGACAGTGTGGGTGAGGTGAGCCTTCTTCCTGTAACATTTTCTTCCTTCTCTTTTCACAGTTCGGGATGCAAAAAACCTAATCCCTATGGATCCAAATGGGCTTTCAGATCCCTATGTGAAGCTGAAACTTATTCCCGACCCCAAGAATGAAAGCAAACAGAAAACCAAAACTATCCGCTCCACATTAAACCCCCAGTGGAATGAGTCCTTCACATTGTAAGTGCTTTCTTCTCCCCTGCATTGCATTCCACTCCCACATACCTCATATGGCCAGCCTCAATATTCGGGCTAACAAGGAAAGAGGTTTATGACAATAGTGTCTACACTTCGCCTCTTCCCGAGACCTTCTCAGACTACTGTCATCACCTCTGTTTGATGGATAGTAACTTGACTTTTCAGTAATTATATAGACCCCAAATAGTTATCATTACTTATTCTGTACCTAAAAGAAAAATCTGTTTAAGGTATTGCATATTATATACAAGTATCTAAGGTATGTTTCACTTCTTGGTAGTCTTGGGTTCTTTTGAGAGAGGATAAGAAGCAAAAAAGTTGCAATTCTTATAACCTAGAACCAGTGAATAATGTAGAATATTGCTACTGCAATGAGAAGATATATTCGCCATTGCTGAAGGAAGACCTCCTAGAGGAGGTGACATTTGACGACTCTTGTAGAAACCTCGGAAGTATCACTAGGCCATGAAGTATACTAGTACTTCAGAGGTAGAAGGGGAAGAAGGAAGGAGGGAAATGGTAAGAAGAGTAAAGAAGTCAGGAATGAGAGAGCACTGACAGCAAGGAACACAAGCAAGTAGTCCTGTGTGGAGCTGTGGGCTCGGGAAGCAATTTGTCTACAAGTATCCACATAGGTGGCATGCTCTGCTCTGTAAAGGGTGGTAGTCTATTGTCTTAGCCTTTCTGAGTCCTAATTCCTCCACACAATTCTGAAGTTCCCTTGCCAAAGCAGCCACAAACAATTTATAAACAAATGGCCATGGCTGTGTTTTAATAAAACATCATTTACCAAAAAAAGTTTGTGGGCTGGGAAGTTGGCTCAGTGGTAGAATGCTTGCCTCGCATGCATGAGGCCCTGGGTTCAATTCCTCAGCACCACATAAGCAGAAAAAATCCAGAAGTGGCTCTGTGGCTCAAGTGGTAGAGTGCTAGCCTTGAGCTGAAGAGCTGAGGGACAGCGCCCAAGCCCAGAGTTCAGGCCTCACAACTGACAAAAAAAAAAAAAAGTTAATCTCTGGTCTTTAAGCTTTGGTAGCCATTTTGAGGGGCTGGTATTTTGGAGGATACAGGAAGTGAATTGAATATTCAGTTTCTCTATCTCAGTCTCAAATTATGAGCACATAGTATTACCCAAGAAACCATGATGGAGCTAACCTGTGTGTGTGTGTGTGTGTGTGTGTGTGTGTGCGTGTGGTGTCTTTGTAGCAAATTAAAACCTGCAGACAAAGACCGGCGACTCTCTGTAGAAATCTGGGACTGGGATCGGACAACAAGGAACGACTTCATGGGATCCCTTTCCTTTGGTGTATCGGAGCTGATGAAAATGCCAGCCAGTGGATGGTAAGAAATCTCTCCATCTAAGCATGACTCCCAAGACCACCAGGGGTCGCCCAAAACTGGCCTGTCTCAGGCTCTGGCAAGCTGATTGGCTGTCTGGTCCTCTGTCCCCAGTCTTCTTCCACAGACACATTTGTCAAACAGCCCTAGCCTGACTACAGGTTGAAGGAGAATTGTTGCTGAATTTGTCTCTAACCCTCCTTCTCTCCTGTGTCCTTAAAGGTACAAGTTACTTAACCAAGAAGAAGGTGAATACTACAATGTGCCCATCCCAGAAGGGGATGAAGAAGGCAACGTGGAGCTCAGGCAGAAATTTGAGGTGAGGATCCCCACGAAACCATGGGCCACACCTTTCCTTTGCCTGGTACCGCATGACTTCAGGGAGGGCCCAATTCTTGTGGTCACACCATTGAAGGACAAAAAGCAATCTCTCATTAGTACTCGTTTTCTCTATTTAAAACAACAAATGACACAGGAAGTCACTTTACAAGTTGTTGCCATCAACGCCGCAGAAATGAGAGCGTATTTCTACCTACACCGGTTTGCGTGTCACTAGGGAAACAACCCGGCCTGAGTTGAGGTTGCTTCTTATCCAAAAAGAAGGGCACATTTGGAATCTTCCTTGGGAGGAATTTTTCTGTAATTGGGCAATCTTGCCAGTATCAGAGACTTTTTCTTTTCCTTTCTGAAAGTGACAATTTTGCTGTGACAGATCAGTTCTGACAACTATGCCTTTGTGTTTGGGATTCCTTTTCATTTTTGTTTCAGATGTTTAGGAAAGGCCAGCCTCCTGCTCTTGTTGCTATGTGGTATCTGTGTTTCTCTTCTGCCCCAGATTTCATTGGCTACTTTCCCCCTCCATGCTCCCTGCTCTTTTTCTTCTCCATCCCTTCTTTTTACTTACTAGACATTGCCCCCATTATGAACACTCTCTCTAAAGAGAAGTCACCAACTGATTTTTTTCTACTTCTCTGGTGCTTTTGTTTTTTGTTAGCGGGCACAGAGTCAGTGGCAGGGGCATTCTGTGTAACCGGTTTATTTCTTTTTGAATCTTTCTCTTCTTCAGACTCCATACGATTCCGTGGAATCACCCAACCTTAGCACGATGCAATATGTACCCTTAAGTGTGTGAGCCAGTGAAGTGTTACTGAAATGTCACGTTGATGGGGTGAAAGTGGTCTTATTTTCTTTCTTGTGTTGTTCCCAGGGGTACACATAGGTCCAGTACAGAATGTTCACATTCTTTCACTGTACTGATGTTTGGTTAAAGTTGATGGCAGTGGCAGATACTTAAAGTCAGGGACTCTACGGTTGATGACTACTGGGAACATACATTAGAGAAACGAGTCAGAGCTAATATATGTAATGGTATGTGGCAGCAGACCTTGTGGTTGGTGGACTGAGGTTCACTGGTGATCTCCAGCCTTGGCTAAAGGTCGCTGCCACGCTGCTTGGAGCCACCTGTCCTTGCCATGCACCTCCACAGGCCCAACACGGCCAGATCTCCAGTTCTTCACGAGACACACTAAGCCCAGGTGTTCATCTGACTTGTTCTGGCTTCTTTTACTATGGGCAGCCAAGTTAAACTTAACTATACTTAGCTTGTGCGCATCAAGCATGAATCTACTGCTTTAGATGCTGGTAGGAGCCAACCAGTGAAAACTAGCCTACAGCCTCTGCTGCTGCTGAAAAGAAATATAGGAGGGAAAACGTCAATAAAAGGAAATGTGTACACACACATATGTGTGTTTGTCTAAAGAATCATATCCAAAGCCTTTATGTGAAGGTTTTGCCAAGCATGTGCTCTTGCTCTCATACTCCCTTCCCTCCCTGGCCCTTCTTCCCTTCTTTCTTCTCTCCTTTCCTCCCTCCCTCCCTCCCCCACCCACTGTCTCTCCTTACCTCAGCCTTCATTTTCTGCCTCTACCCCTACCCTGTTCCACCCCAGCTGAGGACACAGGTTAGTTCCCTGACACTTCCTTGATGCCCCCCTCAATGCCACCCCACCCCCATGAAGGATGGATCCTTCTAGAGTCTCAGGACACTGAGTACCAGGATCATTCAACTGTCTCAGGCAGGATGGGAACCTGAGCTGCTGGGGAGCTATCCTAAACTCGTCTTGCGCTAGGTATCCGCTCATTCAGTCTCCAGGTTGGGACTCTGGGCACAGGACATGGTTAAGGGAGGAACAGTATTAAGGCATTATGGGGTGTGACTCACAGGGATGTTTGAGATGTGGCTTTACTGATAGAGTAATATTGACCTCCTTTTAGTGCTTCCTTTTCTATGGCTTCCTGGTTGTAGCCTTTCTTGTTTCTCTGGGCAGTATATCCAGCTTTTTATAAAGGTCAAACTTCCAAGTTTAAAAAATAAAAATAAAAACTATGGGCCAGAGAGCCTGAGGCCAAAAGCAAATTGTTTCTCTCTAGAGGCTGTGTGTGTTGCCAGCTGCTGTCTCCCTCCTGGGAGAGCTGAACTTGGCAGCAGAGCACTGCCCCAAGGCTGGGAAGTATTGGAGGGAGAGGAAGGCCATGGGCTAAGGGGTGGCAGCTCTGCTGTCCAGCCCACCCCTTCCAGTGAGGTCCAGCGAGATTCATGCTTAGAGCACATATAGTAACTACACCCCAACTTTCTCTTTACCTATCTTTGAGTTTGCATTTCCTAAAGTTTACTCAAGTTATGCTAGCTCATTTACTTAGTACATTTTAAACGCACAACAGCAAGAGACTAGGCAGAGAGCCACTTGATGATGGTGTCAGGAAAATGCTGAGAATTTTGTGATGGCTGCCATGCTACATTTAAGTGGAAAATTCTGGTAGGATTTTAGGCAGGTGTTCAATGCATAATGGTACTCTATTGAGGTCTACAAGTGTGAAAATTGCAGCTTCTCCAGTCATGAGAGAAAGCCAGGATCCCACGTGCCAGGCCAGAAAAGCTGGAGTCTGCATTTGAGCAGCTGTGAGGGGCAGCCACCCTTTCCAAACAGGATGTCAGCTGGCATCAGGGTACCCTTTGGAGAACAAACTCCCTCCCTCCACTAGACCCTCCCTCCACTAGTCCCTCCATCCCTATGCGTACAGCTTCCCTCTCTTTACCCCTCAGTCCACATAGCCGCCATGCTGTCTGCTTTCTGTCATTACTCCTCTCTCTCCCCAGCCCACTCTCTCCCACTTCCCAACCCCAGTTGCCAGGGTCTCACCTAGCTGCACACTTCTGTCAGCGGGTCATTGCTGGTTGAGACCCATGCCAGGTTAGTCCTTTGAGAAGCAGACATCTCTCTGGGACCAGATCCTGTCAGTCAGTTTATTCTTTCCAAGTCCAGTTCTGTTGCCTAGAGAAAGCTAATGAACAGCTGCTTTCAATCTTTCCCTAAAAATCAAAAGTTTATTCAGTCTGAAAAAGAAAAATCAAAATCAATGATTATTTGGAACTCTGATCACTATATTAGGATTCATCTGATAGCCAGGGAGAAATCTTTTTCTAATTTAAATGGTTGATTCTAGAGTCTTGACAAAGAGAATCATCTATAAGTGAAACTCTTAGGAGCTAAGGAAAATACCAGAATGGCTGGAAAATCCTTTATAATACAGAGCAGATCATGGCCTAGAAGACTATGCACACCAGAGCATTGACATCATAGTCATGGACAGCATCTCTGACTGCTGTGGACCTTGGATCTGTTCATGTTCATCTTTGTCTAAAGTATACATGGTCCCTGCGTCACAACTGAAATTATGTATCTTTTCATTTGTTCAGTAAATGAGGTTCCAATGGTGCATAAAACAGAGTCCCTACTTCCTGTGGAGTTTGTCTTCCATATTCTCTGGACCCTGCTTCTAATCTTTTCAGGGATGAAGAAGGGAGCTTATTGAGAAAGACAGGCTAGCATCCTGTGCTGGTGGACACTTTATCAGAACCTTCCATGGCTGCTGAGGACAGCCAGGTCCTAGTTGGGGCTAGCTCTGCAGGCCTTATCTATAAAGGATCAAACAGTGAGTGTTAACAGTCTTTACAGGTGGTGTCTGCTACATGGTGTCTGTGGTGATATGCATGAAAGCACTTATAGACAAATGTGTAACTAGTGAGCATGGTGTATTCCAATAAAAACTTATTTACAAGATGTGGTAGACCAGATTTGTCCATGCACTATAGTTTGGTAACTTATAGTTCAGCTCATGAACTCTGGAATCAAATCTTGGTGTTGCCAACTACTAACTATGTAACCTGTCTGAGTCTTACTGTAGCTGCTGCATGGGAATAATAGCTCTATTTACTGAAGAGAACTGTCTTAATAGAAAGCCCCTGAAACATCCTATTATTCAAATGCTACATCTTCGAATCATCATTGTCAAGAGTATTTTATTGCAGAAAATGACTTATTGAGAAACTATGGTTTTTAACTTCTGATGTTTCCCAGAAATGAATGACTTCATGTGGAAATCATCTTCCAGATAGTGGGCTGGCGAGTTCTCGGCCCTGCGGTCTAGCCATATTATGAAGTAGAATTTATAACATGCTTTGAGTTTTTTGGGGGGAGGAGAAGGAGAGGGCTTTTTGTTTGCCCTGTTTTTGTTCCTGTTTTTGTTTTGTTTTGTTGGGGTTTGTTTTATGTTTTAGACAGGCTCTCTCCCTGTGTCCTAGGCTGGCCTCGATTTCTCCTGCCTAGCCTTCCTGAATGCTGGGATTACAGGTGTGCCCTACCCTACCTGTCTACTTCCCTGGCTGAAGGCATTGTTTCACTGGGGAAAAAATGTATCTCAATTTACATTCTGATGCCTTTCTGGAACATGGTATGTCTATAAATCAGGAGCTTTGTGAGTGTGATATGGTGGTATCTAAAATAAATGATAACCTGTGAGACAAACAGATGTCAGTGGTGGTCATGACTATAGATCTAATCCCACAAGGAAAAGTCAGCTTACAGTGGCACTTCTCAATTCAGTCATTGAGTTTAGGGTCCCAATTAAAGACTCCAAGTGAGCACATCTGATGTGATTGATGTGGACCACCCCAAGAACAAACACAAATAGCACCCTAATGATGGTAGCCTCTCATAACTCATTAGAGAAATGATCCTGTTAAACAATAGAAATGTCACCATTGACTTATGACTAATTCCATTCACATAAAAGCCAGTACTTCTGATGGGGTAATGCTGCCATTGTGACCTTTTGAAAAATTCAAGGATGCGAATTAGCCCCATCTAGAGCTGTGCCCCGGGAGTTACATGCTGCGTTCAGCTTTCTACTTAGGAAAAAAGGGGTATTTTCCCACTGCATCTCCCCTCTCCTAAAAACAGTTCTACAATTTCTTATAGCT